ATGAGGCCAGGCTGTCCGTACATCGATGTCCATCGCACCGGGTGCATCGGCGTAGGCTCGGATGACGATGGTCGGCCGCGGCCTCGGCGCTGGAGTCAGCTGTGTCGGAGATGGCACCGGGGCCGCATGAATGGGGCTGAGCTTGCAGGGGGTTTGCTGACTGCGCTGGGCAAGCTGGACATGGAACCCTATCTCTGGCAGGCCGACGCTTACCCGCATTGTGCTACGCTCTGTTTGACTTGCGGTGTTGGCGGCTTTTCAGACTCAGCAAGCTGAGGCCATCAATGTGATCAGCTGCAGTCGAGTTTCCGGGCTGCATTAGCTGCTCCGTTAGCTGTTGGAGTTTCGGATCCTCCACGCCTGACCCAGGTAAGGGACAAGGCCCTCGTTGCCACAAAGGCTGATGTGAAGGGCTACAATGACAAGCAGGTGGTCTCGTGGCTGGTCGCAGTGCTGTGCGAAAAAAGCACAGCCGATGCGATTAAGGAGGCCTTGGCGTCTGCTGGCTGTGGGCTTCATTCTTGATTGCGGCCAGCTCTGCCCACTTTGGTTCCCTGCTTAGGTGGTGACGTCTCTTTCGGGGATGAACGGTCCCGGACTGGTGATGGCCAGCGTCGGGGTGCTCGAAAAAGACTACGCACTCTGCAAAGCTATGGCTAGGTCTCTGGGCAAGATAGTCCAAGGCTTAACGGACCCTGCAGCTGCTCCGACATGAATTAGTCGCACTTGTTCGGTAGGTGTGTTTGTTTGTGCGGTCAATTTCACGTCGGTTGGCTTGTTTCAGACTGTGCGCTGAAAGGAAATCACCTTTGCCGACATTGCACAAGATGCGAAATATGCTGAACACGTCTTTGATGGTGTTTGGGTCTACAACCTGCTGACACGGCTTCCTTGCGGGTACATCCCTGATGCGCAGCAGCTTGGTAATGTCTCTCTTGGAGACGGTCCACAAAAGCGATGCATTCCAGTTCTCTTCGGAGAAAGTGGCTCAGGCAAAACGGTGCAAGCACTGTTCGCGCCAGCCCTCAAGATGCTGACCGAAGACTGCGGCGTTGTAAGGGTTTTCGCCTGCAGCCTTCCTGACGCTAGTGAGCATCTCGACAAAGTCAGGGAAGCCAGTCGGGAGAATCGCACTGCTGTGCGTGCGGAGTGGTGCCAGAAGTTCGTGATGCAAGAGTTCAAGGAGCGGCTGAAGAATGCGTTTCCTAATCACGGCGATTTGGTTCGAGGCTGGCTGGAAGATGAGCAGCGAAACAGTTCTGCTCTGGGCTCTGTGGTGTTTGTGATCGACGAAATCACGAAATGTCCTGAGCTGGCGAAGGGCATTGCCGCATGTCAAGATGACATCTACAAAGAGCTGAATCTTTATTGCGACTCTCCACAACTGGTGATGGCCAGCACCTCCGCGGCACGTGTTCTTGAGCCTGGTCCAAGCCTCGACTACTCTAGCGACCCAAGCAAGGTGTGCTTGGTTCCTGTTGGCCAAGTTAAGGAGCGCAGCTTTCTGGACAGCTTAATCGCGTGTCTCATTCCTCAGAAGTGTG